TAATTGCTTGCGATTTACTGATAAGTTTATATTTTGATCTAGCCGAATTATTTGGCTTGGGGATCTGAACTATCGAATAGCGCTACCATCCCGGTCTGCTAAAGCACTTGTTGAGATGCAAAATTGGAGAGCATTGTTAGAAAAGGACCAGGTACTTTTATCTATGTTCTTTTTGAACTCTTCGGGTTAATATTTTTCTGTGATTGTCAATATAATAGTGAATAACGTATTGTTATTATCAGCTGCGGATAGAGCAGAGACGAGGCCGAGTTTTTGAGGGATGGAGAGAAGGGAAGATATATTTTCCTCCAACTTATAAATACTCACACAATTCAGACAGATATGTGGGAGGTGAAATGCATCCTAAGGAGAAACGAAGGACACCAGCGTGGTTAGAACTCTCTCTTACTGATCAATATGCCTTATATGTTGATTATTCATTAAATAAGTAAAAATTGATCAGGTGTGATCGAATTTTGTGGTACGGAGACGGCCTTCAGCAGTTATCTTATGTACGCGGGGAGTCTAGGTTCTCAGATCATAGACCTGTTTCCAGCATATTTTGGGCCGAAGCTGAGTCAGTTCCCAGCCGGTTAAGGAAAAGCACAAGTTGTTCCAGCTCGAGGATTGATGTGGAGGAGTTGTTTCCTCCATACTCGCATGGTTACACAGAACTATGCTTCTTTTGAAGTAGTAAAAACGGATGGTTAAAAATGAGTACGCGTTCAGTCCTTGAACATCTAATATCAGTGCTTTGAGGGTGTGAAATTTTACGCACCCAAAGCAAGATATGAGAAAATATGCAGGCGGGGAAATGCTCTGGGGAAGCATAGGGTGAAGAACGATGGGGACATCCTTTGCCCATTAACTGAAAAATGGTGAAGCCTGATGCTCTTTTACCTTTTCTTGATTATGCTGCAGCTTGTCATTTTCTTTTCTGATTTTTTGCCCTCCATTTTCTGATCAGATGTAGATATTAGACATATACTTACAAAGCAATCGGGCTCGCTTCTTGCTATTGACTTTTCCAATGACAAATGCCTTCTCTTCTCAAAGAACCAGACGAGATGAGACGATCTTCACCAGTCTTACTAGGCGGGCGGGAAAAAATCTAATCCGGCT